GAACTATGGCGCACAATGATTGGTTAAAGCCACAAGCACTTTGGCTTTGTTTACCCCCAACTTTTCCCCGGGGGAGGGGCTATAGCAGGGGCGGACTGACCATTTGGAAACTCAGGCACTGCCCGAGGGTCCGGGTTCAGTAAGGAGGCCCCATGAGATGCCCCTGGTACCTTTCATTGGCTTTTTCATAGGCTTTTTTGGGTATGGGTGAGGACACAGGGGCCCCATGATCCCCCATTGCCCGGGGGACCCCATGAGCTGTCAGTCCGCCCCTGGGCTATAGAGCACTTTCCCCTCTCTTCATGTCCAGAACATTGGGAAAGCATTCTGTCATCCACAAACGTAGCTGGGAGCAATGTAACACTCACTCGCTGTACTCGCTATCTACGGAGCAGCAGCGTTGTCATGCCAGGCAGGGACTATAGAACACCTCCACTTCTTATGTACATAACATGGGGGGAGTTCTGTAGTTCACAAAGACACTTGGGGAAAAAAAAAAACACTCACTGTACCATATCTATGGAGTAGCAACGTTGTCACCCCAGGAAGGGACTATAGAACACCTCCACTTCTTCTTATGTACATAACATGGGGGGAGTTCTGTAGTTCACAAATACACTTGGGGAAAAAAAACACTCACTGTACCGTAGCTATGGAGTAGCAGCATTGTCACCCCAGGAAGGAACTATAGAACACCTTCACTTCTTCTCATGTACATAACATGGGGGAGGTGTTCTGTAGTCCACAAAGACACTTGAGAACAAAACACTTGCTGTACTGTATCTATGGAGCAGCAGCATTGTCACCCCAGGAAGGGACTACAGAACACCTCCACTTCTTCTCAAGTACATAACATGGGGGAGGTGTTTTGTAATCCACAAAGACACCTGGGAAAAACACTCACTCACTGTACCGTATCTATGGAGTAGGTAGCAGCATTGTCACCCCAGGAAAGGACTATAGAACACCTCCACTTATTCTCATGTACATACCATGGGGGAGGTGTTTTGTAATCCACAAAGACACCTGGAAAAAACACTCACTCACTGTACTGTATACATGGAGCAGCAGCATTGTCACCCTAGGAAGGGACTATAGAACACCTCCGATTCTTCTCATGTACATAACACAATGGAGGTGTTTTTAGTCCTCAAAGACACTTGAGAAACAAAACACTCACTCTCTGTATTGTATCTATGGAGCAGCAGCATTATCACCCTAGAAAGGGACTACAGAACACCTCCATTTCTTCCCATGTACATAACATGGAGGAGGTGCTCTATAGTCCACGGATACATTGACTCACTGCAGTGTATGTATGGAGGAGCAGTATTAGAGCCCTAGGACAGGACGTATTAGAATGCATGAAGGTCAAAAATCCTTCATCCTTTACAACCCTCTAATAGTAGAATTATCTATAGAGGGGGATGCATGAGACTAAGAAGAGGGATGACTGAGGAGGAAAGAGGGATGAAGGGCTTTGGTTCGAAAAAATTGGGACCTATGAATTCAGCCAATCAGCTCACTGCCATCCAGTGACATCACAATACCTTCCACTGCTTGCACATGAACCATACACCCTGTGCCCTGCTGACCCCAGTACAGGAAGTGATGGGAAATCCAAAAATGCGGAGCTATCATGAACAGGAAGTGAGGGGAAATCTTTCAGGTAGGGATTTTATCCACTCTGGAAGATTTCATCTTACTTCCTGTTGTGTTTCCCTGAAAAGGAAGTGAAGGGAATTCTCCCTGATGGGACACAGATGACAAAAATAAAAAATAAAAAAATAAAAGCCGACAAGGTTTTAAAATATTCCACACTCCAAAAATAACAAGAAACCTTTGCAAACATTTATTTTAAAACCAAACTTTTTTTTTTTTTTTAGTTTTGGATAATGTGAGAAAGTCTTGATTCTCTGTCAGGCTTTTATTGGGGAGATTTTCCCTCACTTCCTGTCCCTGTGACACACGTACAGGAAGTGAGGGTTGCGGTAGTCACTGATAGAGGGAGTTAGAACAGCAGTAGACGCATTGTCAGAAGTTTTCACCCCCCCCCCCCCTCCGCTCCACCAAACTTGTCAGAGAGATCTTTTGAAACTAGCGTTTGCTACGTATTTATTTATTTCAGGTACTTATATAGCACCATCAATTTACGCAGCGCTTTCCATATATATTGTACATTCACATCAGTCCCCGCCCCCGAGGAGCGTACAATATAAGGTCCCTAACTCACATTCATACATACACATACTAGGGACAATTTAGACAGGAGCCACTGAACCTACCAGCAGGGGTGGACTGCCCATTCAAACACTCGGGCACTGCCCAAGGGCCCGGGGTCAGTAGGGGGCCCAATGAAATGCCCCTAGTACCTTTTATAGGCTTTTTTGGGTGTGCTTTGAGTGTGGGCAAGGACACAGGGGCCCCATGATCCCCTATTGCCCGGGGGCCCCATGAGTTGTCAGTCCACCCCTGCCTACCAGCGTGTCTTTGGAGTGTGGAGGAAACCGGAGTACCCGGAGGAGACCCACGCAGGCACAGAGAGAACATGCAAACTCCAGGCAGGTAGTGCTGTGGTTGGGATTTGAACCAACAACCCCAGTGCTGCCAGGTGGAAATGCTAACCATTTAGCCACTCCAGCCACGTTTCTTGTGCATGGTGTACATGGGGCAGACCATCCATTTCAATGGGTCGCCCTATGTGCAACAAAAATTGGCCAAAGCAACTCGCGTCGCTTTTTGCGGCATTTTTTTACCGCACATTTTGCCGCGTTTGTTGCGTGTACTTGCTGGCTGTGTTTAGGGTGCCATGAACAACGTGACGTCCATTCAGGGTGATATTGCACTCATTTACCAGACGTGAAGGTGTGAATGGAGCCTATGAGAAAATCAGAAGAAAATTTCCATACGAGGCACGATCGTTCGATTTTCGTATAGTGCGTACACAACTTTTGACACCCGATTCAGACTTTCCAAAACGAACATTTCAGAAGGGACAAACTCAAACATTTTTCTCGTACGAGAACAGAACTAATGGCTTTCAATTAATGTGTGCGGTTTTCATGCGAGAAAAATCTGATACAAAAGACTGCGCATGATCAGAATCAATAAACATTATCGGAAACAATAAACATGATCAGAATCAATAAAAATGATCAGAAACAATAAACATGATCAGAATCAATAAAAATGATCAGAAACAATAAACATGATCAGAAGCAATAAACAAGATCAGAGACAATAAACATGATCAGAATCAATAAACAAGATCAGAAACAATAATCAGGATCAGAAACGATAAATATGATCAGAAACAATAATCAGGATCAGAAACAATAAATATGATCAGAAACAATAAATATGATCAGAAACAATAATCAGGATCAGAAACAATAAATATGATCAGAAACAATAATCAGGATCAGAAACAATAAACTATACAATTAGTACCGTCCTCAGTTTCGACCTGCTGCGAAACATCGAGGAAAACTGGACGATCGTTCATCCAATTTTCTTATAGTGTGTACTGGACTTAAAGCTGACCATTCATGATCAGAAACAATAAACACGATCAGAAACAATAATTATGATCATAAACAGGGGTGGACTGAAAATTCATGGGGCCCCCGGGCAATAGGGGATCATGGGGCCCCTGTATCCTTGCCCAAACTCAAAAAAGCCTATGAAAAAGGTACCAGGGGCATCTCATGGGGCCCCCTACTGACCCCGGGCCCCCCGGGCCCCTCGGGCAGTGCCCAAATTTCCAAAATGATCAGTCCGCCCCTGATCAGAAACAATAATCAGGATCAGAAACAATAAATATGATCAGAAACAATAATCAGGATCAGAAACAATAAATATGATCAGAAACAATAAAATCATGATCAGAATCAATAAAATATGATCAAAAACAATAAATATGATCAGAAACAATAATCAGGATCAGAAACAATAATCAGGATCAGAAACAATAAACACGATCAGAATCAATAAACAAGATCAGAAACAATAATCAGGATCAGAAACAATAAATATGATCGGAAACAATAATCAGGATCAGAAACAATAAATATGATCAGAAACAATAAATATGATCAGAAACAATAAACAACAAAAAAAAGACTTTAATTCATACAATTAGTACCGTCCTCAGTTTCGACCTGCTGCGAAACATCGAGGAAAACTGGACGATCGTTCATCCAAGTTTCTTACAGTGTGTACTGGACTTAGCTGACCATTCATGATCAGAAACAATAATTATGATCAGAAACAGGGGTGGACTGACAACTCATGGGGCCCCCAGGCAAAAGGGGATAATGGGGCCCCTATGTCCTTGCCAAAACTCAAAAAAGCCTATGAAAGGTACCAGGGGCATCTCATGGGGCCCCCTACTGACCCTGGGCCCTCAGGCAGTGCCCAAATTTCCAAATGGTCAGTCCGCCCCTGATCAGAAACAATAATCAGGATCAGAAACAATAAATATGATCAGAAACAATAAATATGATCAGAAACAACAACAAAAAGCCTTTAATTTTCATACAATTAGTACCCTCCTCAGTTTCGACCTGCTGTGAAACATCGAGGAAAACCGGACGATCGTTCATCCAATTTTCTTACTGTGTGTACTGGACTTAAAGCTGACCATTCACGTATAGATTTTTGTTTGAGAATTTAGGATTCAAGAATATTCGTTTGATTCTCTAATTGTTAGTGTGGTCGATGATGGTTTCTGACAGCGGTGACGGGAAAATTCGAAGGGGCAGGAAGGAAAACTTTTCTCGATCTGACAAATTCTTGGCCGGTGTATGCGGTTATCGTTCAGAAATGACATTCGTTATAAAATCGATCGTTAAAAGCAAAAGACGACTTTTGAAGGACGTTCGTCCGTTCATTGAAGGATTTTCATACGACTTTTCTTATGAATATTCTCGTCGGAAAATCTACATGTGTTTGGCCAGCTTTTGTGGGGGGGTAAATCACCTAATTTGGGAAACAGCAACCAAAACCTGGCGGGGGCTCCAACCCAGGAGTGAACTGACAACTCATGGGGCCCCGGGCAATAGGGGATCATGGGGCCCCTGTGTCCTTGCCCAAACTCAAAAAAGCCTATGAAAAAGGTACCAGGGGCATCTCATGGGGCCCCCTACTGACCCCGGGCCCTCAGGCAGTGCCCGACTTTCCAAATAGTCAGTCCACCCCTGCTCCAACCCTTCCCTGCTCCACCCAAAACAGACATTTCCAGGGACAGAAATAACCGAAAGTCTTTACAAAGTCACCCGGAACGTTCCGTCTATCTAGAAAAACTGGAAAGTGGGAAATTTCTGACCTTTCTGGACCCGGAGCGGCCGGTCGTCCTTTGTCTCGGGACGGGTCACAGACGGAAGAATCGGCGGCTACAAAGTGACAACCTTTCCGCGTTACACATGTGGAGTTGTCACGGCTCAGCCCTCGCCATTAACCCCTCGGTGACCGGGATACCTGCACACGCTTCGCACACGATAGAGGTCAGCTCTGGTTGTCTTTGTTAGGTATCCAGTGGCCCCGGGGCCCCCAGCACTGTATCATTCCAGGCGTTGGGGCCCCTCGGGGTCAACACACAATGGAATGTCACAACATCCTGAATAATAAGAGACGGCGATGACAGAGAGACTTACCGTTGTCAGGGGGTGTGCGTCCTCATCAGGGGGTGTGCGTCCTCATCAGGGGGTGTGCGTCCTCATCAGGGGGTGTGCGTCCTCATTGCGCAGTGTGCGCCCATCACCTCCCGGTCCCGGAGACATTGCAGGATCCCCAAACCATTGTTCTCAGCACCAGTCCCACCTGAGATCTGTCCGCACCGACAGCCCACCACCCTGCAGGAGGATTGATAGTGTGTACAGTGTGTGTGTTCTGGGGAGGAGAGGAGCCCACAGTGTGCTCAGTGCTGAACACTGTGCTGTATGTGTGCTGTATTGTACACTGTGCTGTATTGTACACTGTGCTCTATTGTGCTGTACACTGTGCTGTATTGTGCTGTATTGTACACTGTGCTGTATTGTGCTGTATTGTACACTGTGCTGTATTGTGTTGTATTGTACACTGTGCTGTATTGTGTTGTATTGTACACTGTGCTCTATTGTGTTGTACACTGTGCTCTATTGTGTTGTATTGTACACTGTGCTGTATTGTGTTGTATTGTACACTGTGCTCTATTGTGTTGTTGTACACTGTGCTCTATTTGTGTATTGTACTGTGCTGTATTGTACACTGTGTTATATTGTGCTGTACACTGTGCTCTATTGTATTGTACACTCCTGTCTATTGTGTTGTATTGTACACTGTGCTCTATTGTGTTGTATTGTACACTGTGCTGTATTGTACACTGTGTTATATTGTGCTGTACACTGTGCTGTGTTGTATTGTACACTGTGTTATATTCTGTTGTATTGTACACTGTGCTGTATTGTGTTGTATTGTACACTCCGCTCTATTGTGTTGTATTGTACACTGTGTTATATTGTGTAGTATTGTGTGCTGTGTAGTATTGTGCAGTGTGTGTTATATTGTGTTGTATTGTACACTCCGCTCTATTGTGTTGTATGGTACACTATGCTCTATTGTGTTGTATGGTACACTATGCTATTGTGTATTGTATTGTGCTGTATTGTACACTGTGCTCTATTGTGTTGTATTGTACACTGTGCTCTATTATGTTGTATTGCACACTCTGCTCTATTATGTTGTATTGCACACTCTCTGCTCTATTTATGTTGTATTGCACACTATGCTCTATTGTGTTGTATTGTACACTATGCTCTATTGTGCACACTCTGCTTGTATTGTACACTATGCTCTATATGTGTTGTATTGTACACTATGTTATATGGTGTAGTATTGTGCAGTATGTTATATTGTGTAGTATTGTGCACTGTGTGTTATATTGTGTTGTATTGTACACTCTGCTCTATTGTGTTGTACTGTGCAGTGTGTGTTTATATTGAGTAGTATTGCACACTGCGTGTTATATGGTGTAGTATTGTACACTGTGTAGTATTGTGTTGTATTGTACACTGTGTAGTATTGTGTTGTATTGTACACTGTGTATATTGTGTAGTATTGTGCTGTGTGTTATATTGTGCTGTGTGTGTTATACTTGTGTAGTGTTGTGCAGTATATTATATTGTGTAGTATTGTACAGTGTTTGTTATACTTCACTGTATTTTTGTGAAGTGTGTGTTATGTTTTGCTGTGTGCAGTGTATTATTATTGTGTAATATGTGGTATTGTGTGGTGTGTATTACTGTGCCATGTGTAGTTTTGTGTGGTGTGTAGTATTGTGTAGTATATAATAATGTGCGGTGTGTAGTACTGAGCAGTGTGTACTATTGCATGGTGTGTACTATTGCGCAGTATGTACTATTGTGCAGTGCGTAGTACTGAGCGGTGCGCAGTATTGTGCGGTGCGTAGTATTGCGCGGTGAGTAGTATTGCGCGGTGCGTAGTATTGCGCAGTGCGTAGTATTGCGTGGTGCGTAGTATTGAGAGGTGCGTAGTATTGCGTGGTGCGTAGTATTGCGTGGTGCGTAGTATTGCGGGGTGCGTAATATTGCGCGGTGCGTAGTATTGCGTGGTGTGAAGTATTGAGAGGGTGTGTAGTGTTGAGAGGTGCGTAGTATTGCGTGGTGCGTAGTATTGCGTGGTGCGTAGTATTGCGGGGTGCGTATATTGCGCGGTGCGTATATATTGCGCGGTGCGTAGTATTGCGTGGTGTGAAGTATTGAGAGGTGTGTAGTGTATTGAGGTGTGTGTAGTATTGCGGGGTGTGTAATATTGCGCGGTGTGTAGTATTGCGCGGTGTGTAGTATTGCGTGGTGTGTAGTATTGCGGGGTGTGTAATATTGCGCGGTGTGTAGTATTGCGCGGTGTGTAATATTGCGTGGTGGTGTGTAGTATTGCGGGGTGTGTAATATTGCGCGGTGTGTAGTATTGCGCGATGTGTAATATTGCGTGGTGTGTAGTATTGCGGGGTGTGTAATATTGCGTGGTGTGTAGTATTGCGGGTGTGTAATATTGCGTGGTGTGTAGTATTGCGGGGTGTGTAATATTGCGTGTGTGTACCTCTGCAGCTGATGCTAATAAACTCCGGAGTGTGGGAATAGTGAATGAGTGTGTAGCTGGGAGCGCGGTGGGTGTGTGCTGAGCTGTGTAGATGTCATGTAATAGCAGTACAGTGCAATGTGTGTAATGCTCTATATATAGAACCGCTGTTATTATTATCCTAGGTGTCCTTCCTGCATGGAGTGTGTTAGTTGTGTTGGTGACTTGTATTGCAGAGTGTGTCCTGCACCTGTCTGCAGAATATCGGCATGGTGTGTGTCACCTGGATGCTGTCACCTTGTCCCCCCCTGTGCATGGTGTTTGTTATACTCGGGTGGTATGGTATTATACCTGGGTGGTGCGGTGTGTGTGATATTCCTGGGTGGTATTATACCTGGGTGGTGCGGTGTGTGTGATATTCCTGGGTGGTATTATACCTGGGTGGTGCGGTGTGTGTGATATTCCTGGGTGGTATTATACCTGGGTGGTGCGGTGTGTGTGATATTCCTGGGTGGTATTATACCTGGGTGGTGCGGTGTGTGTGATATTCCTGGGTGGTGCGGTGTGTGTGATATTCCTGGTGTATTCCTGGGTGGTGCGGTGTGTGTGATATTCCTGGGTGGTGCGGTGTGTGTAATATACCTGGGTAGTGCGGTGTGAGTGTGGCCGGCTGCTGCTGGCTCTTTGTGTGCCGTCTCTCTCTGCAGAAGCTTGCTTTGCATTGACAATAAGCTGCTGGCTGCGCCCTCCTCTCTCCTCCTCCTTCCTCCTCTCCATGGTGTCCTCTCTCCTCCTCCTCACTGTCTGTCCCTGGGAATCAGCTCTGCCCTTCCCCTCCCATCTTCCTCTGGGTTCTGATACACTGACAACTGCTTTCGGTTGTCCCCGGTCACCATGGGAACGGAGGGCAGGGAACCAGAGAGGTGCCCCGGGTTGGGTGACGCTGTCACGTGATGCCCTTTGCTGCATGCTCTCCGCAGCCACCTCTGCAGCGCGCCCGCTCAGGGGATCAGCGGACGGTGTCGGTTTTAGGATGTACAGCTGGGACTGAGAAGAACGAGGCAGAGGGACCCCCTGATGAAAGCTGGAAATGTAAATGACACTGCAAACAGAAAACTACAATCATCAGGACCTACCGCAGTGTTCACCCCCTCCAAGCCGGGGTCACCCCTCTTCCAGATGCAATGCCCTGAATAACGGGGGATCGATCATCGCTCCATCATTGTTTTATCATCGCTTTATAATCGCTCCATTATCGTTTTATCATCGCTCTATCATCGCTCCATCATCGTTCTATCATCGCTCCATCATCGTTCTATCATTGCTCCATCATCACTCTATCATCGCTCCATCACTCTATCATCGCTCCATCATCATTCTATCGTCACTCCATCATCGTTCTATCACTGCTCCATCATTGTTTTATCATCGCTTTATAATCGCTCCATCATCATTTTATCATTGCTCTATCATCGCTCCATCATCGTTCTATCATCACTCGATCATCAATCTATCATCGCTCCATCATCGGTCTATCATTGCTCCATCATTACTCTATCATTGCTCCATCATCACTCTATCACCGCTCCATCATCATTCTATCATCACTCCATCATCGTTCTATCACTGCTCCATCATTGTTTTATCATCGCTTTATAATCGCTCCATCATCATTTTATCATTGCTCTATCATCGCTCCATCATCGTTCTATCATCACTCGATCATCGTTCTATCATCGCTCCATCATCGTTCTATCATTGCTCCATCATCACTCTATCATCGCTCCATCACTCTATCATCGCTCCATCATCATTCTATCATCACTCCATCATCGTTCTATCACTGCTCCATCATTGTTTTATCATCGCTTTATAATCGCTCCATCATCATTTTATCATTGCTCTATCATCTCTCCATCATCAATCTATCATCACTCGATCATCGTTCTATCATCGCTCCATCATCGGTCTATCATTGCTCCATCATTACTCTATCATTGCTACATCATCACTCTTTCTCCGCTCCATCATCATTCTATCATCACTCCATCATCGTTCTATCATCACTCCATCATCGTTCTATCATTCTATCATCCTTCTATCATCGCTCCATCATTGTTTTATCATCACTCCTTCATCGTTCTATCATCACTCCATCATCGTTCTATCATCCTTCTATCATCGCTCCATCATCGTTCTATCATCGTTCTATCATCACTCCATCATCGTTCTATCATCACTCCATCATCGTTCTATCATTGCTCCATCATCAGACAGATGTAAAAAATAAAAGCAAAGTGAGCGCTCTCTAGTATAGCAGTTGAAGCTCCAAGGTAACCATATGAAACCTCCAGAAACAAAGTATAACAATAAAGTGCAGCGCTACTGAAACAGTCAGAGATGTAATCGGGGTATAATCAACATATAATAGTTTGTGAATAAATGATGAGATATGGTCCAGAAGTGAGCAGAAATCAAAAATGCTGGTGCTCAGAAGGAATGGTAAAATTGCTCACTCACCAGATGCACATAGGACATACGCATTAATATATCCACCACGGTACACTTAGGGTCTGGGGCATGACAGGTGAATGATGATCTTCCTTCAAGCATTCATCATAGCAGTGTTGGTCTCCCCTCTGAGGACGTGCGTGGCATGAAAGGCCTTAGGAGGAATCAACACGCTGTGACGTCACGGCGCCGGAGCCACGTGCAGGTCCGGCGGCCATCTTTATGTATGGTCAGTTCACTCTGCAATACTGTATTTCACCTGTTTCCATGGAATAAAATTTAAAGGAATACTACACTATGGGCACCTTTTTTATGGCTCTTCTATGGAGCCATTAAATTACAGAGCCAGTGGAAGTTCCTTACTGATCCAGTAACCAGAGGAGGGAATCCCTGTAAGCAGGTGCAGACCCATCTATCCTAAAGGGGACCTCTGGACAAGCAGACCTCACCTACATCTACTGATTCACTGCTGTGCTGCCCTATCCCTTGAAGGAAGATCATCATACACCTGTCATACCCCACACCCTAAGTGTTCTGTGGTGGATATATTAATGCGTATGTCTTATGCGCATCTGGTGAGTGCGCAATTTTACCATTCCTTCTGCACCAGCATTTTTTTATTTCTGCTCACTTCTGGATCATATCATTTATTCACAAACTATTATATGTTGATTATACCCCAATTACATCTCTGACTTTTTCAATAGCACTGCACTTTATTGTTATACTTTATCGTTCCATCATCGTTCCATCCACCACTTGCAGGAGAACACTGAATTACAGAATATGGAAAAATAAAAGTGACATTGTAGCAATAAACGGATACATTATCTAATCACTTTATATATATGCAGCCAATAAAGGGTCCACACTACTGTGCGTCAGGACGATGTGCAAAATCCAATGCACAGAAACGCGCTGACCTTTAGCAGATGCCGCAGAGGTGCCATTAATTGTTCATTGCACCCCACACATCTGCACATTTTCACACGCTGCAAACCGCACGGTGCCGCAGAGGTGTGGCCAGGGGCGTATATGCCGCGAGGCAAACAAGGCGTTTGCCTTGGATAGCAGTTGTCAGGGCTCCCGGTAAGACCAGAGATGTGTGAACTGACACAGGGAAACGCAGGCTCAAGTATGGTGTAACAATATAATTTATTAAAGGTTATACACAAATATAAAACGCACAAAACCAAACCTCCAACTGATAACGGAAAGAACACAGACAAGAGCAGTCAGGGCTGGTGAGGTGGAGTGGTCAGGCGGGCCAGGTCAGGAACCAACAGGCAGACAAGACACAAAGGAGCAGGTAGAAGAGTGGTCAGGAATAGCCGAGGTCAGGACAGGCGGAGTTCGTTCGTTCAGAGTCAGGATCAAAGCAGGATCAGGATCAGGCAGGAAGCAGACAGGATGCAGGTACAGGGGCTCATGGGAAACATACACCAAGGCACTGATCACATGCCTGGTCCTGCTTAAATACACCTCCTGCAATCAGCCTCAGGTGATGGTCTGATTGCAGGAGTGAGATTCTGGCTGCTGAGAGCACCCGCTGGCCAGCCTTGGTACTGCAGCCTACAAGGCAGGTTGAGTCCCACCACCATTGGCGAGTCCATTCCTGACAGCGGTTTACAGGGAGGCGGCGCTGCCCCCCAGGCAGAAGGGACACTGTGTGTCAGTGGCAGGGCCGCCATGGGTGGGGGTACAGTCAAGCCGACAAACAAGTAGGGTCACTTGGGTCAAGGGACCGGCTGCAGAGGAGGGCGGAGTGGTAGGCGAATCCCCGGTGTGCGCTGGGAGCGTGTGAGGGCCGGGGCCCGGCTGCCAGTGCATGCTGAGATGTGCAGGATGGTCAGGAGGTGCCAGCGGAGGGCCTGTGGAGGAGGAAGAAGAGGACAAGGTCAGGGTGGAGGAGCCCCCCGCTCTTTTGCAGCTGCCGCCGGAGATCCTGGGGGGAGATGGACACAGGCGCCCCTTCTGGAGTGGTCCTGACACCATCTGGAGGAGCCATTGCCAGATAGGTAAGAGCTTGGGGGACTGGTGCTTCCCCACTCCTGTCTCAATGTCCCCCAGACACATTGCCCCCCACCTGTCCCACTTCCCTCCCCCCCCATCTCATTGCCCCCATCACGCTGCTCCCACCTGTCACCCTGCCCCACACCTGTGCTATCCCAACACCACACACAATATAAAAAATCTTATATACAATGACATATTAGTCCAAATGTGAATGAGAATCCTATAGAGGAGCGCCACTATAGAGGAGTGCTACTATAGAGGAGTGCCACTATAGAGGAGGGTCACTATAGAGGAGTGCCACTATAGAGGAGTACCACTATAGAGGAGTGCCACTATAGAGGCCACTAGGGCCACTATAGCAGAGTGCCACTATAGAGGAGTGCCACTATAGAGGAGTGCCACTATGGAGGAGGGCCACTATAGAGGAGTGCTACTATAGAGGAGTGCCACTATAGAGGAGTGCCACTATAGAGGAGTGCCACTATGGAGGAGGGCCACTATAGAGGAGTGCTACTATAGAGAAATGCTACTATAGAGGAGTGCCACTATAGAGGAATGCTACTATAGAGGAGTGCCACTATAGAGGAGTGCCAGTATAGAGGAGTGCTACTATAGAGGAGTGCCACTATAGAGGAGTGCCACTATAGAGGAGTGCTACTATGGAGGAGTGCTACTATAGAGGAATGCTACTATAGAGGAGTGCCACTATAGAGGTGCTACTATGCTACTATAGAGGAGTGCCACTATAGAGGAGTGCCAATATAGAGGAGTGCCACTATAGAGGAGTGCCAATATAGAGGAGTGCCAGTATAGAGGAGTGCCACTATAGAGGAGTGCCACTATGGAGGAGTGCCACTATGGAGGAGTGCCACTATGGAGGAGTGCTACTATAGAGGAATGCTACTATAGAGGAGTGCCACTATAGAGGAATGCTACTATAGAGGAGTGCCACTATAGACGAGTGCCAGTATAGAGGAGTGCTACTATAGAGGAGTGCCACTATAGAGGGGTGCTACTATAGAGGAATGCTACTATAGAGGAGTGCCACTATAGAGGAGTGCCAGTATAGAGGAGTGCTACTATAGAGGAGTGCCACTATAGAGGAGTGCCACTATAGAGGAGTGCCACTATGGAG